AAAAAAAAAGTTTCAATGTGATTTTTTAGTCGTTAAACTTGCACTTGTTTTACTAAAGTTTTATGAACCATGCAACTCAAAAATTTTCTAAAGATTCATATTAAAAAGTTAAAAAATTTACAAAATTTTTTATAAAGTTTGAAACATTGATCTATGTTCATTACATTTACTCTCCATACAAAAAAATCAGCTCTATTTCTCCATCGGAAATATAAATAAGATTTTAAGCCTTTTGAGACTGTTTGAAAATACTTCCAAAAATTTTGTGCTTTATAAACGAAATTAATTATTAAGTATTTTTTCTGAAAATCAGCTCAGATTGTGAAAGAGTTAAAGTTTAAAAGGTCTGCATAAAAATGTTTAAAAACTGTATCACTGCAATCAAAATAAAGCGTTTCTGGAGGAATTTTCAAATCGGTGTGGCTCGCATTAATCTTAGTAGTTTTTCGAAACACTTTGGCGGAGGTCTTAAAGTAAAATAAATTTTTTAATTTCGGTAGGTAACTGCTTTTTTTTTGGTGATACACCCTACATATGTGGCTTTTGTTAAAGCATTAACTTTATTTTCAAAAAAATAGAAAATAAATACTATATACATATCAACAAAACTGTAACTTGAAAAACATTGTGAACATTTGCAAAAGATTCACCATTCACTCAGTTTTGATCGCCGGTATATCATTAGTTTATGGGTATTTGTTATTTTTTCTTGTAATTTATTTGTTATATGGCGAATACTTAACATTGGACCTTTTGTTGCTAAGAGTAATTAAAATTATCAAGCTCGGCCTTTATAAGCATTGGACTACCAAAAACGCCAAAAAGAAAAAGAAAAACAAAACAAAAGCACCAAAACTATACAAAGCATTTCCCTTTTTGCAAGAAACGTAGAACTATTGCTTTTAGCTGTTACTTGAAAAAGTTTTAGATGTGTTTGGTGTATTAACATAACTGCATATTATCCATGGCTAATAGACAAACAAGCTAAACTTTTTCTGTTAGTTGAATTTCTTCTGTACCCTTAACATATTTGTTAATAACGAATCAAGCTTTTTTTTACATTGTAGTTTAATTTATGGCACAGCGATGATAAGGAAGTTCATATTATGGTAAATCCACAAAAGCTCATACATCTACAAAACTTGACGCGTTCCTATCAACTACCATTCGAAGTTATGGTCTCCAATGTGCAAAGGTAAGTTTGTAGGTGCATGTACATTAGGGGTGGTCCAAAAACAATAAAGTCGGATTTGTATTGCTCTCACCCCTAGGATTGTTCTATACCGAAAAAAAGTATACCCCTATTTTTTATTTTGAAATCAAAAAATATTTAGAGGTCGCTCACAATTTTCCATGTATTTTTATATGGGCAAAAAAAACAACTTTACATAGAAATTGTATAGAATTCTTGAAAATATATATTTTTCGATCGGAAAACTCTTGTTCTCTTCTCGAGACTTTCAATGATAATAACCCAATTGTTTATTTAGCCATTTTTTTACTACTAACAGTTTTTTATTGGTCCCCCCATTACATTTTTCGGGGTTTTTGTGCCTGTTTAAGAGGCCTATCCCATTGGAAGGCTCTTTTGACATAATATTATGTAGATGGAAGGCCTCGGACAGTGTCACTATGAGTCATACTTTTGCCTTCACGTTTCCCTCTTGGAGCGTCTAATGAGTTTATCGTATTCAGTGAGTGCAGCCCTATACTCGACCCACTGATGTGGACTTTTTGCACTGTTGAAAAGCATCCTGACAAATTTGCGCTTTGTATTCAGTTCCCCGTTCCACCAGGGAACCCTACGTTTCATCAAGGAGGAACCGGGAGTTATGCTGCCGTGGATGGATTCTAACTTAGCTAGATTCGATTAAGCGAGTGTACTCTAGCTCTAGTGAGCTTTGGTCGCCCTGGGGTCTCAAATCTTATTTGTTGGTGGGAGGTCCTAGCCATGATTCGTCTGAAACTTGCTATGCTGGTACATTAATATTTTGAAAAAAGTATTATATTTGTGATGAGCAGTCGATANGACTTTTTGCACTGTTGAAAAGCATCCTGACAAATTTGCGCTTTGTATTCAGTTCCCCGTTCCACCAGGGAACCCTACGTTTCATCAAGGAGGAACCGGGAGTTATGCTGCCGCGGATGGATTCTAACTTAGCTAGATTCGATTAAGCGAGTGTACTCTAGCTCTAGTGAGCTTTGGTCGCCCTGGGATCTCAAATCTTATTTGTTGGTGGGAGGTCCTAGCCATGATTCGTCTGAAACTTGCTATGCTGGTACATTAATATTTTGAAAAAAGTATTATATTTGTGATGAGCAGTCGATAGATGAACTGAGCAGCGGTGAGAAGCAAGCAGAGCCATATTAGCTGACCTGCAATCTTCTTAAATCCGGATAGTCAAATAGAAGATGTTCTTGGCTGCCTTTTACTTTGTAACGTGCTATGCAGTTTTCATTCTGTAACAGACCGAATTTAAATATGTAACGCCTTGACAGCGTTAGAAGAACTACGAAACAAGAGCCTGAACATCAAAAACTAACCAAAATTTAAATTGTTATTAAGGTGGAAATAATACAAACAGAAAAAACGAAGATGTGAAATTAAATTAAGTATGCGATAAGCTTAAAAAAGAAAGAATGCTTCATATAAACTTACAAATTTACTTTAACTTAATATCATGTAAAAAAAATATATCCTAATACACTTAAATTTCGCAGTCTAATTGATGCTGAGCAATCTTCAAAAACTACTGACGATCTATCCTTTGGTTGGACACGCTATTATCCCTTATCAGCTATCGAAGAGTTTTTAGATGAAATACTAGCGAAATACCCGGCAGTTACAAGTGGCATCGATATCGGCACCTCCTATGAAGGACGTAAAATACGAGGCATTAAAATCTCATACAAAGAGGGTAATCCGGGTATCTTTATCGAATCCAATATACACGCACGCGAATGGATCACCTCAGCGACGGCTACTTGGTTCATTAATCAGCTTCTAACATCGACAGATGCCGATGTGCGCGATTTGGCCGAAAACTATGATTGGTATATTGTGCCGGTTTTGAATGTGGATGGTTTCGTTTACACGCATGAAACGGTATGTTCCTTCATATAACGGAACCACTTGTCTCACTTCTTCCCCTTTAGGATCGCATGTGGCGTAAGACTCGCCAACCGGTTGAGGGATCAGCATGCATAGGTGCCGATCCGAATCGTAACAGTGATTCGCATTGGATGGAGAATGGCGGTGCTTCGGCAAATCCTTGCTCTGAAACGTTTGCCGGTTCACATCCTTTCTCTGAGCCGGAAGTGAAGGCCAGTACCGATTATATAGCTAGCATTAAGGATCGCATCAATATTATGCTCGCCTTTCATTCGTATAGTCAAGTACTGTTGTCACCATATGGTCACACTTCGGAGCCTGCCGATAATCACGACGATTTGATGGCTGTGGCAAAAGCATATTCGGATGCGGTCAAACAATTGCCCTACGGTACAGTTTACACTTACGGTACATCGGCAACAGCTATGTGTAAGTGATAAAATAAAGAAATTGTATGTAATACTTATGTAAGTAAGGAAAAAACCCAGGTTTAAAAAAACCCAGGTTTATACCACATTTAAGCAGAGAATAAATCAGCTCCTGTTTTCTTTATTTTAGACGCTACTTCGGGTTCGACTAGAGATTATGTCTACAATGAATTAGGAATTCGTATTTCATACACCATTGAGATGCGTGATACTGGACGTTTTGGTTTTATTTTGCCGCCAGTACAAATATTACCACATTGCGAAGATACGCTCGCTGGAATTTTAGCGCTGGTTGACAAGGCCAAGGAATTGGGTTATCTAGAACTAAAATATTCAGTTTAAATTTGTATTTAAGTACAACATAAATAAATATCGCTTAGCAAGTATTTTGAAAAGAGTATTACATGCTACAGTTGCAAATATATCGATGTCAGTATCGATATATCGAGTAATTATTTTTTTTTTTTTTTGCAGACATCGATATTTTTTTCGATATCGAGTATGGCTTAGCCATTTTCTCATTACTTATTTTTGCGCCAAACAACATCGGCGACTGATTTAATAGACTACAAATCTGCATATAATTTTTTTTAATAGAAATTCTTATTAAAAAGTTCGCAATTTTTAGAAACTTTTTTGATTTTTTTCTAATTTTTGCACAAATTTCAAAATTTAGGTTTATATGGCTTTTGTAAGAGATTGAGCTATACTTTTATAAAAAAAGTAATGAAAAAAATATGGAACGAAAACTCATTGCGAATACTGTGATAATATCACTGTGTGATTTTGAGTGTGGGTCACTGTTCATACATACATATCTGTGTTCGTATGGAAAAGTATCTTATGTCGAAAGGCTGGCTTGACTTCCTAGTATCGGAACTATTTCTGGCACGTTTATTTGCCAAACGTTGTTCAACGGCTCAGTGTCTGTGAGTCATTCACAATCGCTTGCTGCGAATACCGATTTATACTTAATCCAGCCCTTCGACATAAGCTACTTTTCCATACGAACACAGATATGTACCTCACATACATGTATAATAAAATTTTCTGTTGGTAAATGGTTCTATTCATTTGAATGAGTAGATGTTTTTCAGTGTGGAGTTAAAAATTAACGATATATATCGATATCTCGAGTTTTTGTCTCTTAAATATCGAAAATAGCGAGTACGGCGAATATCGATACTTTTGCTACTTTTGCTTCTAATGCTTGGCAGATTTAAATTATATTAAAGCTTATGAAGAAAACTTAAGGGTCTGCAGGCAAAATTGCGATAACCATGACGACCTGTAAATTAAGGATGAGGGCACTTGTATAAAAGCTAGGCTACTATGGCCGTAAATTGATAAAAAAATTATAATATTTTACATTGAAGTATGAACTTTTTTCTTTTAAAACGTAAGAAATATGAAAATTTTACACTTTGGCGCCCACTGCCAGATACTTTAAGGAAAAATAAAATCCATAAATCGATTCCTACAAAAAATCCCTTAGAGCATTTTTTTTTGTTAAAAAAAATGTACACCATCTTCGTGCAAAATGAAACGCTGCTAAGAAAAAACCATTTTGGCAAGCTCGGGATTGATTTCATACCAATGTATTTTTGGCAAACTTGCTTGGAATTAGCCTTGGGTAAAGCGCAATTTTTATGGCGCTGGCTCTATAACGCCGGCGCCATCGATAAGTTTCTCTGATGTTCTCACCACTCAAAAGCAAAAACAAAATACGTTAATTTTAAAAAATTAGGGTGAATTGTATGTGTGTCTCATGTGTTTCTTGGTGTTAGCGGCGCTAACGCTTTTCATAAATATGTTGGTGTTGGCATGGCAACTCCGGCTACGGTGACAATGCAATTGCGCAGCGCAGTGTTATCCATGCCTAGGTAAAAAATTCTCCCATACAAATTGACCCATTGTATGATAATAAACCACCAATAAGCACAAAAACCAGTTTTTATTACTTTTTTATCTTTTACCACGTGACGAGTGTTTGAAATTTTTCACTTCACAGACGACAACGCACCGTTCGAATGAAATAACGGCACACAGGGGTGGATCTAGACGTGGCTTTTGGATAGGAAAAGTTACGAATAGTACAGTCAATCTGGCTCTATTTGTAGGTGTGCCTAAAAATGTTCCACTTAGGATAAAAAGGGTAAAATGCTGCTCAGAAAAATATTTGAATCAAAATAAGTAAATGTTCTTTCCTCAATTTGACATTAATTTTTTAACCGCCTTCAAAATAAGGAGGAAGCTATCACTTCCTTGAAATATTTCATCGCGGCATAAATGCTGTCGAAAGCGCGTTTGAAGTCGCAAAATAGATGGTGAGTGTCGATCATTTTCTAACGGATCTTTTCCAAGACTTCGCGTATTATGAATACCTAGTCTACGGTGGATTGGCCAAGTCTAAAGCCACACTGATAAGGTCGAATCAGTTCGTTGACGGTAGGCTTTAGTCTTTCACACAATACGCTCGATAAGACCTTTAAACCCAGCTTAAAAGGCTGATCCAGCGGTAGTTGGCGCGAATGGCGGGGTCGCCTTCCTTGTGGATTGGGCAGAGCGCACTTAAATCCCAATCGTCGGGCATGCCCAGCTTAAAAGGCTGATCCAGCGGTAGTTGGCGCGAATGGCGGGGTCGCCTTCCTTGTGGATTGGGCAGAGCGCACTTAAATTCCAATCGTCGGGCATGCGTTCATCTGACCATATTCTGCATATGAGTTGACGACGCCAAACTTGAATAGCTCAGCAGGCAGGCTGTCAGCTGCAGCAGCTTTGCTGTTTCTCAACCGCGTAATTGCTATTCGTAAGTGCTCATTGTCAGGCGGTGGGACATCGACTATATTATTATCGACTTGAGGCTCGGATTCGTCTTCTCCACTACCTTCATTGCTGCAGCCCTTCAATAGGATGTAAAAGGGGAGCGGTAGTAAATTCTGCTTTTCAAACATTATTCGGTTGAAAATTCTGGAAAAAATGTAAAAAAAATTCTTTGCAGTTAAAATTATTCCGGCTCAAAGTTTTGTATTTTAAAATTCTGTAAGAACCAAATGATGTATTATAGACGGAGAGCTCATGACCAAAAACCTCATCATACTTCAGATCGATTGAATTTTTTTGTGAGCTTAGCTTGTTAATATATAAATCGAGATCTGGAGGGCTGGCTGCTGAACAGCGGTCTTGGTTATGGATTTTTAGCGATTAAAGACGTCTATGAAAGTGCATTGTTGCAACCATATTATATATTTTTAGGCGTTTAAAGTTTACGACATACAACAATAGGACACTTACGATACCGTTGTGAATCCCTCCATTATTTATTAGCTATAATTTAATGCATTCGGTTAATATGTATAAACTATAACTATATATGTATCTTTATTTGCTGTATGGCATTCTATATTGGAAAAATCGGAAAACCTATTTTTATTTATTTATTTATTTAGTTTCCCACTGGGAAAATAGGTAAGCACCTTGCGAGGTAAGCCATGTTTTCTTTCAGTTTTTAGTACCAAAATTGTCATCATGGCCAATGTCATCTACTAGTAAAGGGCAAAATGAACACCTCCGAAGACACATTACGTTGTCAGTTGCAAAATAACGTGCAGCCGAAGTTATTTCCAAGCACCGAACTACTCCGAGCGACTGCTCTGCATTACACGTAACTTACTTTGTAAAGCGGCTCAGAAGTATGTCTGATACCAAATGTACATTCTAAATTCCTACTTACATAAGGCGGCCATGCCTTTGTAAAAGTAAGGGACGTTCGGCAGGGAAATGGTAATGACTGCCAGGTGAAGAGTAAGTTGCTAATAAGGTATTATTACGTGCTCCTAATTCCCACTGGGTTTGCTTCACGAAATTCTATGTGTATTATTTAAATTAAAATAAGTCATTTTTCAATAAAGAATTTTGTAAAACATAATTTTGCTATACTGAGTTTTGCATATAGGATTTTAAATACAGAATATTGAACCATAATAATTTTGTACCCAACCCTGTAAAAGTGATCTCTGCATAATTTAAGTAGGTACGTTCTGGACATCGGTCACTAGATCGCCATGGCTGTTCTTACAGGAGTACGCCCCGGTCTTGAAACCTTCCGTAAGTCGCCTTACTCCCTGGTAAAATTTTCCTGTCGGCCAGCATTTCAAAAATACGTTATACTTAACAAAAATTATACAAATTCGTACAGCGTGTTTTTACTACCTTGACCAAAATAAACTTTTACATATGTATGTTTTTAAGAGCTCAGATTTGTTTGTGTATTCCTGATGACGAAAACTATTTTGCTTTCGTTAATGTCCATATAAACCACGCGTATTAACCAGATTTTATCGTATGTATTTTTCAATTTTAGCCTTACCTTATCTAAGCAAATTGCCAATCGATAATAAAATAAAACTAGATAAAGTAGGATGTGATAAAATAAAACTTATTCATCTTACAAGAATTTCACCGTAAATTAACATTAAAGTTTAATACCATTCCACCTTCCTTAGGCAGAGGTACAAAATGAAAACTTTAACTGTGGCTTTCGGATTTTTCGCCATACTTATAGCTAACGGAAGTGCATCGAAAGTACGCTATGACAATTTTAAAGTATTCAAAATTAAAACTCAAAATGCAACGCATCGACAAATGATCGAGAAATTGGCTGAAAATACAGAAAGTGTGAGTGAAGATAGAGTTTAAAGAATAGCAGCAGATATATAGTGAAAACAAGTGTTATAAAATATTGAGTAGATATTCCAAAAATTAGTATGTTGTAATATACAAGTATACTTAAATTTATAATAGCTTATAGAAATCTGTTATTTTTCTCAACTTATTTGGTGTATAGAAAAAATTCAACATTTACCAAGTGTGACTAATATCAGAATAGGGCCACGTGATAAAAATATGAATATTTTCGAAAGTAATAATATGCAGGAACAATATTTATTTTGCAGCTTATTATAGATAATCCAATGAGGTTTCTGCATAATTTCCTTTTCAAAGCAGCGTGAATAACACAAAAAAAAATTTAATTAACGTAATATGTCCGAGTAAAAAAAAAACCAAAAATTAATAGTATATCTGTATGTCCTCGCTATTTCAGACTTTCACTCTACTGCACTCAAATTGAATGGGCTACAAAACAGCACACCCAAAATCTTTATAAGAAATCTAATTAAAAAACTCAAAATTGTTTGCCAAAGTTTGTGGATTTTTTTGTAATATTGCACAGAGTTTGAATTTATATATGATTTTTGTTAAGAAGTAAACTATATTTTTGTAAGAAAAATACCTAAAATTCAAGATCAAAAAATAAATTGTTAAAACTTGTCAATAACTATAACACGGAGTGTATGTACAGTCGAACTTTCATGCCGATATCTTGATATCATTATAAGCAGCAGCGACCGAAAGTAACGGCTAAATATCAATATTTTATTTTTTAGATCATTGCAAAATCGTTTTTTTCTATTTTTATTTGTTTCGATATAAAACAATCGCCACTGTGGATTTTAATTTTTTCGATTATTTTTAACCATTGTAATGGAGACTCCTTTTTTATGACCGATTTAAATGTTTTATGATCTAAAAAATGATATCCGGAAATAACGGTTATAATAAGATCGAAAAAAAACAAAAATCTAAAATAATAAAAAGATTTGTCGAAAAAATAAAAATCCAAAAATAACGGTTTAATTTTGTCGAAAAAAATAGAAGTCAAATTTTAACGCTTAAATTATAATTTTTTCTAAAGCTCATAACCCGATAACCACTTTAAAATGATATACTTAAAAAAAAAAAATCCGTGACGTGGCCTTACTGATTAAGAAGTTCTCTGTATTACCATAGGCATCTTACACCAATTTTACTGTGATATATTTATGTCCATATATCCATGGGCTGATAAGGGTGCTTACTTATGCCTTTTTACTTAACAGTTTAATTTATGGCGCAGCGATGGCAAAGAAGTTCATATTATGGTTAGCCCGCAAAAGCTCATACATCTACAAAACTTGACACGCCCCTATCAACTACCTTTGGAGGTTATGGTATCCAATGTGCAAAGGTAAGCTTTTCGATTCGTATAAAAAATAATCGGTTGTTTTTTTTTCAAACCAGAGACAAAATTTTGATAAATTTCTTTCACTTCTATCAAAGTTTTGTGGCCAAATATAGAGCTAATTATTTGTGCTACCTTATTACCTAAGTTAACCAGTATGAAGGTAGCAATTATGATGCAACCAGTGTTGCCAGAATCTTTTTGTATCGCATCCCCATATCAAGTTGCAGTTATCCCCAAAAAATTCCCTTTTTTTTTTGAAAGCCTCATTTAAATCTCTTTTACTTTTCTATTACAAATTTTCATAGATTTATTATTATTATTATTATTATTATTATAATCATGTACAAAGAAAATCTTTGTTCGAGAAATTTTTCAGTGCAGCCAGTAATATTTCTGTAGTTTAATTCCAATATGAAAATTTTGAACCAATTAAAAATCCCCACGTCACATTTCTGATCTATGAGTATCGTAAAAGAAAATATTATTCAATTCACCAGCGGTATGACCAATGCAGGGCAGAAATAAGGCATTACAGTACATCCCATTACATTACCACCCATCTTGAGCAAAATTTTTTTGATTGGCTATACAGATCACATCTGCAATGAAATACCATATATGAAATAAGTAGTCTGAGAGAAACAGAAAAACTGTGTTAATTTATCGAAGGGTATACAGTGACTCAAACAAATTACCACGCTTTGGTTTTATTTTAGTATTCACAATGCTTTTCGAGCAAAATTTTTTTTTTCTATAAAAATACCGTCCAAGCTTTAACAAAAAGCATATAAATCACAGTTTAAAACTTTATACAAAATTTAGGAAAATTCAACAAATTTTCTACTTCTTAATCTGAAACTTTAGAAAGTTTTTGGGTATGCAGTTTTATAGCTTATAGAATTTAGTCGCGTTGATTTTTGAGAATTTTTTTGGATACTGCTTTTGCGATTTTTTTTTATATAAAAACTACAATTTACAAAAACTGACCTTGATTTTTAGAAATTTTGTTGCTAACGGTCCGCCGCATTTTATTTCATAAGAAATGCAGGCTTATATGGAAAAAAGTGCAGAAATTCGTCACAAAAACAAAATTCTCTAAAATCAAGGTGATTTTTTAGCCGTTTAAAACTTAAAACTTGCTCTACGTCAGACTAAAATTGTATGGGCTATAAGGCTGCATACCCAAAAATGTTTTAAAGACTCAGATTAAAATGTTGAAGTTTTGACGAAAATTTTTTATCAAGTTTGAAACTATGATTTATATGATTTTTGTTAAGGCTTAGAGATTATTATTTATAGAAAAATCAAAAAAAAAAATTAGCTCAAAGCAAATTACGAATATTAAAAAAAAAAATCAACACGTGTTCATTTGTTTGAGTCACTGTATGTATGCAGTATACATATGTAAATGTATAAGTATAGTACCCGAAAATTCCTTCTGAATGATGTATTATATTTTCAAGTCCGGAAGCAAATAAAATGGTTACAAAAAGTCACGATTTTGGCTGGCTAGGATGGAAATTTGTATAACCTTAAAATACTTCCGTGGTAAGAAGCTCTCAAATCAGGGGGAAGTAACAAAAAATTTTTTTCGTAATCCAGGCTTATGATCCCTTTCTGAATAAAAAAATGAGTTAGTTCTTTTTAGGTTTAAAAAGAAGATGCAAGAATTTATGGTAATTTTTCTATTTTTTCACTAAAATGCAAATATTTATCTGACAACAACAATCAAAATATATATACATACATACAGGCATATGTTTAAAACGAGCATTTCAACTTGCGTATATAATAATCTGATAAAAAATTCTTTATTTATTTATTCTTTTTAGACTATAGTTCGGGTACCACCAAAGACTGGACCTACACTGAGCAAGGAATTCGTCTTTCATACACCGTTGAATTTCGTGATACTGGACGCTTTGGTTTTATTTTGCCGCCGGTGCAAATATTATCACATTGCGAAGATACGCTCATTGGCATTTTAGCGCTGGTTCAAAAAGCCAAAGTATTGGGTTATCTAGAACTAAAATATGCAGTTTAAAATAAAAAGTGTGTATGTACTATGTGCATAAATACCTATTCGTATCCAAGTATTTATTTAAAAGAATTCAAAAAAAAATATTTGCACAAGCTTTTTCACTGAAATAGGACATGGGTCTACATTAGGATGGTCCAAACAATAAAATAAATGTTTTTGTATGGAAAAAAAGTTGTGCGATCAGAAGTAGGGTCTCACAATCGCTCATAAAAAACATTGATGTTAAGATTGAGGCTTGCAAAAATATTACCCAATTGTTTTTTTTAACTATTTTTAATATCATAAAACATTGAGGATAATTTCGGAAACCCATATCAGACTCTCGCCTACTGTAGTAATTGTATATGTATATATCTAGGAAATTTGCTCTTCATTCATTACTCATTTAAATAGCCCCCATAATTCAGAGATTTCTTAAAAAGTTAGGAATACCCCAGCTACATTCCAGCAAGTAAAAAGTGCTGCCGCTAGTACCCAATCCAAACAAACATGTACTGAGAAGCTTGGAAAAAAAGATACCAGTTGCTCTATATTTTTGTAAACTTAAGAAGCTAGAGGGCGCGTATAGGGCCACTCTTGTTGGAATCGGATAAGGTAGCCGCGGTGAGGCTAAGAAGCTCTGGTATTTCCTTCAACCCTTCGGGAATCCTTGAAAACTGTGACGTTATACAGTCGGCGCTGTACCAAACCCGGACATGCAAATTTGCAAAGTCTTTTTAGTCGGTGATCGATCGCGAGCGCACGAAGAAACTTCTGCTGTACGCTGGCCTTTAGGAACCCATACAGGGTGACTTAATATAGAACATAATCCTTATTGTCGCCACTTTTTCGCACCAGACCAAACAGGAAGCTTAAAAACAGCTTTGAATGCTTGCTTTTGAAGAGGCCAACTTTGATTCGAAACCTATTTTAAAGTAAACAAGTATTTTTTTTATTTTAGTAAGAAAAACTTATTTATTTATGCTTTTTTTTTTTTGAAAGCAAGGCAATTCATTTTCATTTTTATTTCTTACGCTTAAACTAACCTGCTGGAAAACTGTTTCATTAAGCAATTAAAGAAATTACCAGTCAACCAAAAAACATCAATTACCAACTATTTTGTTATCTAACTAACCAAACTTAATGCGATTTCTTGTTAGCTAAGATCGTGCGCCTAAGCTTATGCTACACATTAGGATTGTACAATATTTTAATAAATTTTATGGCATACTTTTATGGTCACATATTTTTTCGGTATGCAAAAGGTACTTGTATTTTAGATTGCCAAAAGCTATGCATCGATTTGAATACTAGACTCATTTTTGCTATTCCTACTCTTAAAGTCTACTTATGTACCTCGCTGCCTTTTCATAATGTCGTTCGCTGTACGGTTTGCGCGTCATAATAATTCACAGGCCGCGATAACAATTTCGCGGGTATAGTTTTTTGAAGACGCAATTCGCGCTCGAACATTAGCGACTTCTCTCTAACATTCGATACCACGGGCGGCGAACTGACGTCAGCATCGTCGAGAAAACCAAAAACATCGTCCACCATCTGCACATCGATGTAATTATTGTTATCGGGCGTTTTTTGTGCTTTTAACTGCTTGTCCGCTTCCAAAGCTGAAATAGTCACCCTTGCTGGGCTAGCCACCCCGCCACCATTCATGCCATTTGCGATATTCTGACCATTCATGTAATTTACGGCGTAAACGCCATTTGTAAAGCTTACAGCGCGTTGTCCATTCAAAGCGCCATTCATTGGCGCTTGAACTGCGCCTGGTATACCAGCAGTTCGTGGCGCTGGCGCCATCACAGCCGTCGCTGTTGTCGCGTGCGCAGCTGCAGCTACCATTTTAGCACTGTGCCGTGCTTGCCGCTCCCTCTCCGCCTGCTGATGTTCTTTGGCCTGTCGCACCAGCTGCTCCTCGTCAGCGCGCAACGCGAGCAGCTGCTTTCGACGCTGCTGTCGCTCTGTATAGCGCGCCTTAAACGCCTGACGCGCCAAGTAGCCGCGGCAATAGGCTTGTAAGTGTATCAAACGTGAGCGCAGCATTTTGTACTCAGATGCCAAGCGTTTTTGTGCGATGCACGCGCCCAGTCGATGGAAACCTTGGCGCATGATGAGAAACTTACGTCGCTGCTTGTAGCCACGCCACACTTTTTGTATTGTGAGCGCTGCCGCGCGGTAACGCTGCAGCTGGCGACGAAAGAGCACCCGCCGTAAGCCGCGTTGTATGGTTATAATCGATTGTAATACTTTGCGCGCGCGCTCCTTTTCCAAGAATGTGTCATCTATGTCTTTTAGAAAAACTTTATGCCGCCCGAATTGGTAATCAGCTGTAGCGGGCAGTAACTGCTTGCAGATCTGTTTGGTGATTTGACGGCAGTCGATGTCGGGCGTGGGCGTGGGTGCGATTGCGGGCAACAGCAAGCGGTAGCGCTCGACGAAGTCCTTATAGCTGTGGCGTATGGGATAGCCAGCGTGACGTATACGTGCCGTCTCCATCATGCCGGAGTAGCGTAGCTGACGCACGCATAGCTCGCGGTCGAAAAGCTGTAAAATATGAAAGTGAAATTAGTTTATTCTCGATTAAAAACAAAAAACTGCTTTATGCTTTATGCTCACATTAGGTTTCTTATCCTCATTCGGTTTAATACAACGTATAAAGAACGGGTGCGCTGCAGCGAGTGTACGCATAAGCAGGTCCAATGAATTGCGGAACTTCACCGACAACGTCAACTGTTTCTTTATTGTGTCGTAAGGCATTTCCATTGGAAAGATATCGACGAGAAATTTATTTTTAGATTTACCAATCATTTCACGTAAATCCATGCTGAACGAATCGCGATTCTTTTCCAGAAATCCATTCGGGTTGTACATCACTACGCCAGCATAGTGGCGTATGCCAAAGAGCGAATCTTGATTGGATTTTGGTTTCACATAAATCGAACGATTGCCATGTTGTACGTGCAGTTTCTCGAGCAGTGTGTAATCGGTGCCTGCGGAGTTGAATTAAATTTATTGACTTAATTAAAAATATTGGTTTAAGTCATTGGATATATAGTAGATATATACGATATTATATACTTAGATATATTAAGCATAGAAATCTTATTTTACCTTTATTAAGGGTGGAAAGTGAGAGATCGGCATGCAATTTCGACAATATACATATGTATGTGCATGCATATAAACTGTTTTGTAAGATATTATTTCTTATTATTTTAAAAATCAAGGATACCAATTTTTCGTATTCTAAAAAATTGATAGCAAAGTCAAGGGCTATTGAACATCAAAGTAGTACCCGAAAATACTGGACAGTCAAAATAACTAGATACGAATAAATACGTGCTAATGTTTCGATACCGAAAAACGACGTTTGAAAAAAAAAACTTGCGAGAAAAGACGAGTAAAAACCTTCGGCGAAGAAAGACGCGTAAAAAAAGATTTATACCTGGCCAAGGACTCTTGCTTCAGCATCTCTTTGTGGAACTATCGGGACTATTTCAGGGGTTTCGGAATTGTCGGAACTAACTTTTTTTAGGCTTTTCGGGATTGTGAAAACTTCGTTGAAATTTTCGGGAATATATCGGGATTTTCAGGATTGTAGAGACTATCTGGGGATTCTGGGAAGCATTTGGAAGTTTTCGGAACTACTTCGGTATTTTCAGTACTAGATACTTCAGGACATTCAGTAATCCTTCGGGGTTTTGAGGGCTATTTGGGGATTTTAAGGATTTGAAGGTATTCTCGGGATTACTTTTGCATACAAAATTTGGTGAAGTCAAAAATACTAAGTACTTGTGTACACGGTATTTCGTAACGTCAAATTATCTAAATACTTTCACACTTAGTATTCGGTTCTCGGAAAAAAGTAAGTACATTTGCTCATTTTCGTTGTTGGTGTTTCCGACAGGGTAGGAGTGTGATGTAATGTGGAACGATTTTCCGTCATCCCTTGTCAAATTTGGCTTGGAGACAAACCGGTTTCGGCGTTGTGCCATCTTCAGGGTCATTTTTCGTTCGTGAAAAGGTATTTAGCACATTTAAGCAGGGATCACAAGATTTATGCGTTTGTGCAGATTTGGCTATTTTCACCGTTACAGAGTGGAGTTGTTTTGAAAGCTTTTACTAAGCTACTGTCATTCCCGATACAAATTTCAAGCCAACACTAATCCATGATTGCCAAATGTACAAATGTACAAATCGTGTGATCCCTGCCTTGGGCCGTTTGTTCACGTAGGTTTTAAAATTTATCTGCCTTTTAAACACAAATTTTGTTGTGAAAAATGTGTTTAAATGGCAGATAAATTTTAAAACCTTCCACTAGCGGCCGCGGTGGTGTAGTGGTTAGCAGTGCGCGCAGAGCCCGGGTTCAAGCCCTGGTCAAAGCAACATTGAAAAAAAATATAGAAAAAATCATTTTTCTTAACAGGGGCATTTTTCGAGCAGGGACCGAACATAACCGTTATTGATGAAAACTGTCATGGAAAAATCCACTACGAAGGAAATGTTCTACAACTAAGTGATACCTACCAATCGATTTCTTTTCTTACCGAGACACACACTGCTAGTTTTTAAATTACAAGAAAAAATCATAACCACGTTTTATACAAAAAAAAAATCATGTCCCGTTTAAAAATGTCCAAATTGTACATACATACATATGTCCCGGTTTTACTACAAGTAATACCAATTTCTCAATGAAAAAAATTAGTAGGAGTTATTAAATATTAACTCAAAGAGGTATGTCCAGTTTTTATTATTTACATATGTTTAGTTTTTCAATGACAAAATCTGCAAAAAAAAATCCGCATTCCATTCTTAATTGACTAAATATTTATGTCCAGATTTAGAACTAACAAAAATTCATGCCCGGTTTTTAAAAAACAAAATTTATGTCCGGGTTTTAATTGCCAATAATTTATATCCAGTTTCTTAATAAAAATAACCGTGTGCCCAGATCTTAAATATCTACAAAATATTTCCAATCTTTAATTATGAAAAATGATGAACTGAACACTTTGAAGATTTGTGTCCAGCGAGCAATTTAGCCGTAGAGCAAAGGGTTAAACAAATTTTAAAGAGTTAGAGTATTCAACCCTGGAAACCTACTTATGCTTATTTGGCTTTTTTTTTAAGACTATGTGAAAGCGTCAAGAAAATATTAAAAAACTTTATATCAAAAATTTTATGTCGCACTATATATATATGTAATTATATAGAAAATTTTAATCAATACCAAAAAAAAAAGTATATTTCTTGCCAGGGTTAAGGAGACTTAAAATAGGGTTCAACGAGTATGAAATACATATTTTTGTATGTAACGGGTTTTATGAACAAAAAAAACCCCATTAGTAGACGAAATAACTGTAGCTAATAACGCCAAACGTCAGTTCATTTATGACACAATTAGAGTTTATATCAAGGTGCATTTAACAAGGTGATGTTGGGGCGACAGCTGAGTTTTTCGCCGTGAAAAGCATTACTTAAAAATGAGGTGTTTGTTAGTGTAATCTTTTACTTATATACGGCTAACACCACCTTGTTAAATACGCCTTGGTTTATATAAAGAAAAAAATACCGGAACGCTATGTTATTCCAATACCAGCCGTGATAGCACTTGCGGCAAGCTCACCAAATTTGGTCGTCCAAGAATTCTTTCAGTGGGGTTTTTGAAGTTACAAACTCTTTAAGCCCTAGGGAGAACGAATGTCTAGAAATCAAGAACTTATCGCAAGAAATTTTATTCAAAAAGCCTTGGAAAATGCCATAAATTGGTATTAAGTATTATTTACATAAAATACTGCAGTATTTGCTAAACCAGTCGAAGAAAATTTTTAAATATTACACAAATTCCACGTGCGACGCGTTGCGACGTGCAAATCACAGAAATCATTATCTTTGCAGAGAATAATAAATTCTTATTAATTTTTAGAATGACATTTTAATATTAACGGTATCATATATTCATTATCATATGACTGGCATTAAATTGTTCGAATAACAAATAAACCACAGCAACTATCTACGTAAACACTAGTTTACAACAATTTTGGACATCACAGCATTTTGAACCTTAAAAAGTGAAGAGAGTGAAGTCATTTTTTATTTTTATACAACGTTTGTGTGTATGTATGTATGTACATTAGGGTGGTCCAAAATAAGTAAAGTCGGAATNAAGCATTTTGAACTTTAAAAAGTGAAGAGAGTGAAGTCATTTTTTATTTTTATATAACGTTTGCATGTATGTATGTACATTAGGGTGGTCCAAAATAAGTTAAGTCGGAATTTTAATGCCCTCATCCCCTAGGATTGTTCCATATCGAAAAAAATATATATTAGTTTTTTTTTNTACCTTATCCCCTAGGATTGTTCCATATCGAAAAAAATATATATTAGTTTTTTTTTGACATCAAAGAATGTTTAGAGGTGACAAAACTCTGGTTCTCTTGAGGACACTTCAAGTAACAATACTCATGTTTTAATACTAAAGATTTTTTATCTTTCCCCCAATTGCATTTTCTGGCATTTTCTAGAGGTTTTGGCGGACCTATAAAATATAGTTACTATGAAGAAATGATTAAATAAATAATTGGGTATTATTATTAGGCATCTAATGAAGAGCAACAGAGTTTTCCGATCGAAAAATATTGATTTTCAAGCATTCTATACCAATTCTACGAATCGTTGTTTTTTTTACATAAAATACATGGCAAATTTCATAATAAAAAAATAAGGGTATGTTTTTTTGGGTATAGTATAGAACAATCCAAGGAGGTGAGAGTATAAAAATTCCGACTTTAATTTTTCACATACATTCTTGGACCACCCTAATGTACACGCACATGACGTAGTTTTATTGCTATCACTGAAAAGATTTCACAAGGTATTAATTAAATGTTTTTGATAAAAACTCTACTTTAGTATTTATTAATTAACATTTATCTTATAAGTTACATCTACAATAATAGTAGTGTCGGCGAATTTCAAGAATCCAAAATTTCTACGTATTTAGTTTTAACCAATTGTTATAAGTAGTTACTTCAGCTATTATTCAGCTATTCCTAGCTATTTTCCTAGGTGAAATAGGTGTAGCATGGGATCTTCCTTAAAATATTTACATCATGGGGCACCGATGATGAAGATATTGCTGAGAATTTCAAGATACAAAAAATTATGGGTCGCTACTAGGGTTTAAAAACATTTTATTTTTTTTTTATCGAAATTTTTAAAAAAAGTAGAATTTGATCAGCTATAACTCTGCGAGTTTATGAATTTATATGAATAAGTTTCAATAATATATACAAGTTGTCAGATTCCAGTTCAAAATTTTGCAGATATTTTGCGATTTTTTTTTTAATTCCAATTTTCTCAAACCCTGGTAGCGACGGTCGGTTAAAAAATACGAAACGGGAAGTGTAGTGTTGTTAAGTGGAAAAACTTCTCTATTGTGAATTGTTGATCGGTAAGTGTTTAGGGAAATTTAGTTTTCTTTATATACATTAGGGTGCCCATCGAAAATGCTTTTTTTGGAAATTTCAAGACCCTACCCGCCCAATTTTATTCGTTTTTATGAGAAACATTCTTGCCTATTTTATAGATTTTTAAAGGTCATTTAGACCTGTCACGACCTGTCGATTTAGGTCAGTAAATAGGAATTTGTAGATTTAAGAATTTTTGAATGACTAGTTTTGATTCGATTTCAAAGGTCGAATATGATCTGAAAACAAGATATATAGGCCTTCAAAATGGTATATAACAATGTATTGTCGGACTAGGCTTGTTGGGCTTTTTATCGAGTAAATTAAAAAAGACCCAAATTTCCCTTAATTTTTTAAATTTTGACCGTCGACGATTTCCACAATTTCAAAATATGGAGTACTATCTAAAATTTAGTCTATTTCCAAATAAAGTGATACCTCATTTATTGCAATCGCATACAAATTGTCGAATTTAGGCGAATTTTCTTAAATACGGCCTTGAATTTATATATGTGTATGTACCGGAATTTCAGATTTTTTGAGCAGTGTAGCTAAAACATTCATCAATATTTATTCAAAATTGATATATGCAATCGCTCTTTAGCAAAAAAAAAGTGGTTTTTCAAGAAATTTTAGGAAAATGGGGTTGGCACCGCCCACTTACATACATGATATATGCGTATCTCAAAAACTGCTCGACCGATCTCAACCAAATTTGGTAAACACATTGGGCTTAGGCTTCTTAAGCGCCATATTGGAAATTTTTGAAATCGAAAAAAAAAACCACGGGCTCTACCAACGTAACGGTTATTTCAAAAAACTCAAAGCTAGCTATATTTTAGGAGGAGTAGGTTTTGTCCGATTTCAAATATATTCAAGACGATGTTTAAGGAGGCCAAGCACAATGTGTATACCAAATTTGGTCAAGATCGGACAATGAAAAGCGAAAATTTCCAGTGAATAGTTAATAAACCAAATATTACAATAAAATAAAAAAAATTTAACTTTGGATCTAAAATTGCCACGCCAATTTCTGAAATATTCTTGGATTTGAAAAAAGTTGCTGAACAAATGTTGTTAAGAAAATTATATTTTGCCGAAATCGACAATACAATCTTCACTTGGTTAACTTTAGCCTTAACCCTGGTACACTAATCATATTTTTAATACGTAAACATTAACTATTGGCGTTCCAGGGTTAAAACTGAACCGCCCTTTTCTATGGGTTTATCGCCTTAAACAAACATTTTCCTGAGCAAAGACTTTTTACATACCTTTAGGAAATTTCGATTCTTCATCTATTAGGGACATAATGTTCACTGATTTTAAGCCGATTAGGTCCAATATTTCTTGATTATCCTTAAAATCAATATGTTTCCATTTTATGCTTTCCTGTTCATATTCAGCTTGTTCCATCTAAAATAAAATAAATAAAGCAATTTATTGAAGATTTTATATAATGTATGCATGTATATGGTATGTATGTATGTATGTATGTTTATGAAAAAGCTTCTCATAAAAAAACCATCTACCATTGGGTGGCAGCGTATAATTTTTGGTACCCCCTATTTATGTAATAACATTAATGCGAACACCGCAAATTGAAGAAAAAGCTTGGCCGAGCTTGACAAAAATATGAGCGCCAAATATTTAATTTAATTTTACTATTCTACCTACTTTGTTCAGTTCGCAAGAAATAACATCCCGCTGTGTGTGCCCACGCCCAAACTACAAACGGTTAGAAACTAAAAATTATATCCATTTGATTTCCACTTTGGGAATAGTTCAGCGCTGTTTCATAACAATTTCGTGACTAGGTTAAAACAATCCTGAACGATCAAGAATTAGCCCCAAGATTGTATGGTTCTTAAGATGAATTGGTTCTTAAAATAGCCATGAACATATTCCAAGTCTTGAGATGGCCCCGAAAAAAACCCTCACTATTTCCAAAATTATCCCAAACTAGCCCCGAAATATTCCTGAAATAGTTCTGAAGTATTTCCGAAATGGTCGAAAAAGTCGTGAACTTATGCCGAAATGTTTCCGAACAAGTCTTGAAACGGTCCCTAAATGGTCGCTTATTAGTCCCAAAATGATACGAACTAGTCCAAAACTTGTACTAAAATAGTCCTGAACTAGTCCCGAAACAGTTCTGAAGTAATGCTGAAATGTTCCTGAAAAAATCCAGAAGTAGTCCGGATTGGTCCTGAAATAGTTCTGTTAGGGCCCTAAACGGTCGAAGAACATTGAACTTGTCCTGAAGTGATCTCGAACAAGTCTTGAACCGGCATGTAATTGCTCCCAATGAAAATAGTACGGAACTAGTGACAAAATGGTCCTCAAATCGTCATAAAAAAGGTTCCGAAATGGTCGTGATGTAGTTTCGAAAAGGTCCCGAAACGGTTCCGAAGTGATGCCGAACAAGTCACGAAGTGGTCCTACACTAATCTCGAAATGGTCTGGAATGATCATTCGTACATATAAGAAGCAATTACAGATTTTATGCTGGGTGAACGCAAGGTTTACCCATACCGGGGCTTAGATGTTTACACATAAAAAATTAAATTTGCAAAATTTCTTTCGAATATTAAATCAACTTACCTTAAAAATATGCCGCACAAAGAATTGTTGTAAATTTTCATTAGCATAATTAATGCACAACTGCTCAAAGCTGTTATCCACAAAATTCTCGAAACCGAATATGTCCAACACACCAATAGTATTCAACTCTTTAGATAGCTTATCCTTCGTGTCGATTGTTGCATTTATGCGCTCCACGATGCGTACAAAAATCGCGCCATACAGTGACTTCACAAACGCATCTCTACCCTCGAGGGTCATTTCGCGTGAAAGACTCGTCACTACACGCTCGCCATGTACGAAGATCGTTTTGCGGATTAACGCATTGGCAAGCGCTTGCTTTGTAACGCCTAACAGTGAGGCCACACGCTGTAAATTTAGCAAATCCGTAGCCTCAGTGGCGTCCATATTTTGTACTACTGTTGCCTTAAAAGACATATTACCCAAATGCAGAATAGCAGCCAAGAGACTAAGTATGCTCCAAACTTCTTCGGGTCGGAAAGAGAGCACTTTCATGGCAGCGCGTATATCAGCAAAATCTTTCGCATCATTTTTTCCATCCAATCGATGGCAGCCGCCTTGCGCCAAATAGTGGTATTTGTCCGGAGATGTCTCCAACAATTCCAAGCGTGTCAACTCAGGCTTACTCAGACCGGCCAACATACAGTAGAAAATGTGATAGTTGCGCTCATCGCGCGACTGCGCTACTATACGCGATTTCTCCAAAAGATATTGCTCGATCTTCGCACCCTGTATTGCGCCAGCGTCGGTGAAGCGTATCTCTATGTATTTGCCAAAGCGTGATGAGTTATCGTTGCGCACTGTCTTCGCATTGCCGAATGCCTCCAAAATTGGATTCGCCTCAATTACCTGCTGCTCAATCCACGATTGCTTGCCACTAATGGCAGCCAAATACTGTAGTATGAGCTTGGTGCTCTCAGTCTTCCCAGCGCCCGACTCGCCGCTTATCACAATGCACTGATTCATGCGTTCGCGCTTCATCTGTTGGAAGGCATTGTCGCTGATGGCGAATATGTGGGGTGGCAGCTCGCTAATCTTCTTGGCGCGATACAAGGAGATCTCGCGATTTGTGTAAATTGGCAGCTTTTGGTATGGGTTAATGGCAATCAGCATGGAACCGGTGTAAGTCTGAATGGAGATAAAATATTTTTGTTATGACAAAATAAAGTTATTTTTTTTTTTCATTATATTTTATTTAGTATAATATTACTCACATAAATCAGCCGCTTTGCATAGCGCATCTGTAGATTCCTCAAAATCGCATACTCCTGCAAATCGCCCAATGTAATCATATCATCGACGCCTTGCTGCGATGTGATATGCATCGCTTTGAGTACATCCTCAGCCGGCACCCAAAATTGTTTACCTTCGTCATTGGCGATAAGGGTACGTGCCTTCTCCGTACGTATAACTCGTGCACCAAACGGTACCGCAAATTCGTTGTCGTCGGCATTTTGTGGCTTCACCCACACACATTCACCCTATTTGAGTAGGATTAAAATGAGAAGAGCAGGGAAATAAACACTTGCATTATTGATTGAATTACGCAAAGGTGAGGTTCGTTTGAGTATTTTTAAAATGGTTTACATTTACATTCACGAGTACCTGCACATGTCTGCATAAAAATATTCTGTTTTAGCTTTTCAGACAGATTTATCAGTTGACAGACTCGAGTTAATTATACCAAATAAGCACTTGACGTGTACGAGTGGTTGCTCATACGCCAAGGGGGTTTATACTTTTTAGTTGGGTGCTGACATGAGTGTGTATGCAGGTAGTTTACACATATACATATGTAAGTGTGAGTGGGTGTGTGCATTTATACGAATGCGATTATTCATAGATGCAAAAAGCTTCAAATTGGATTTCCTGCATCAAAGCAAATTTTTGATATCAGTTAATGTCCTTGTGGTTAAAGAGATAATTTTTTATTTTTTATAACCAACTGCAAAGTTTAATTATCATTTGTAGTAGATTGTGGTAACTAAAGGAGGATATGAAATGTTTTATTTCAATATTATTAATATTTCTGGAAAAAACTGCATAAATGGTAGTCGCTCCTTTGCTTGCTGGATCATTTCTACCAATAACCATTTCCAGTAAAAACTTTTATTTAAAAAATTTGGTCAGTTCATTAGATTCGCCCAGCGAAAAGTTGACGTTGAAATCTCCTGCGAGAATTACAGGTCGGTCTTAACAGTCTACATATCATTATGTTCATCTTTATCATTCATCTTGATCTTGATCTTGATCTGGGTATTGATCCTGATCTTGATCTTGATCTTGATCTTGATCTTGATCTTGATCTTGATCTTGATCTTGATCTTGATCTTGATCTTGATCTTGATCTTGATCTTGATCTTGATCTTGATCTTGATCTTGATCTTGATCTTGATCTTTATCTTGTTCTTGATCTTGTTCTGGATCTTGAGCTTGATCTTGATCTATAGATCTATAGATATATCAACTTTTACTCGAGTTATCGTGTACGCAGACGGCCGAACGGACAGACAGCCACCGCTTAATCGATTTCTTTTTTCATTCTGTCACACATGTCGACTGTGTAAACCCAGCTTATGGCAAACGGTTGCCAAATGTCGCCAGCGTTGCCAGCATGAATTCAGTAAGCGCCCCAACATATGCACGAAATATATAAATTAGTGAAAAATTTACTGTTACATGCTGTCACAATTAAGAAAATGTTTATCAAAATTTATGAGCATGTAAAATTGATGTTTTTAATAAGGAATTCTAGTTTTTTTTCCTAATTATGGCCTTATAACAATTTTACTGAGCCTGAGGCCGTTTTTCTTATGAAAAAATAATCAATCTCAATAAAATTGTTGTAGTTTTAGAATCGAGTCGAGACCCACCTGTAACTCTTCGGCGACCCACCGGTTGGGAACCGATGTTCTTTATATGCATTCCTCGGACAACGTCGAGTCCTCTGCTACTTTTGGATATGAGTAGGATTTTCGTACTTGAAATTTGAGAACAATAAAAGTAATACCAAATATTTACATGTGCATACCCATGTGTATGTATGTATGTAAACATTTATAATTATCTAAACAAAAATTTCTGCATTACCATCGTGGTTAGATAAGAAAAGCTTAAATTGCCATTAAAGGGATCTTCGTTTAATTGGCGCCCGCCGAATATTTTTATCAAATAGGCTTGCCTATACAAATGTAAGGAGGGGTGCGTTGGTAAATATATATGATAATAAGCACGCATGACTGGTACATAATACAAAGTGCCCTTAAGCCCCAGCCATGCATTTACGTAATTTCCAAAAACAAAAAAAAACAAAAATAGAATGGTATGGAAGTATACGAGCATTTACATATTTGAACACTAAACAAGCCCATGCAAAGGTAAACAAATTTCACATTAGCAATTTTATAAATAAATATATGTATGTACGAACCACGCCACAAAGCCAAACATGGTGGGGCAGCGCCGCAAATCTGCACTTGGCAGTTTGTATGCAAATAGTGTATGGAACGAAGTACTAAGTATTTTAACGTAAATCAGTAAACACATTTGCAAACTCATTCGCTGTCTAATAAAATATAAAAGAAGTACCAAAACGAATTCAGTTACAAGAAAAAAGTAAATTGGAAATAAAAATGACTGATAATAAGCTGAGCTTTTGCACGTTGCGATAAGATTGGCGAACTACTCGATGTGGCGACGACACCGACAAACTAATTAAAAATCTAAGCGGCAAAAAAAAATGTTGGCTTCAGCTTTAAATCAGTGTAATTTCTTTGTTTGCGTTCGCATATTTTAGATAACCGCTTTTATCACCGCTTCTGTCTTTTAAGTCTGCAAGTTCTTTGACCATTAAGCGTTGGTTTATAGAAATATATTTGTAGAAATCTTGATACCAAATCGCTTTCAAGTGTTTAATTGAATTTTTCAATTTTCAGGCACTTTTTAAATTGCAAAATTTTTATTCGCAATGATCTCTGTTGCCGCATTTGCCTGGACGATGAGAAGATGGATTCACCTGTACACTCAGCTGGTACAACTCCCGGTTTGCTAAACTCAACCTCAATATATCCAACGCCTTGTTAAGACACGACACTCGAGACCAAATAAATTGAATGGGCTCTAAAACTGCATACCAAAAAAAATTTCTACAAATTCTGACAAAAAGTTTGAAATTTTTGCTGAAAATTTTGAGATTTTTTTTTTTAATTAAAAATTTATATTTAAACAGTTTATATTATAGAATGACTAACTTTTTATTCAGATTAAAAAAAAAATATGAAAAACATTACGTATATTTAAAAAAAATATCACTACGGAAACTTTTTATGGTGTATATTTTTTGTATATGTATATTTTTTGTACATTTTGTATGTATATTTTTGTATGTATATGTATATTTTTTGTCCTCGCCCTTTGCTATTCTAACAACGTCACTTAGTGTCTCCAAACCTTCGGTAACTGAAAAATCGGTTTAGATTTTTTCCAGTACCCGTATGGCAGTAAACCCCTGCGCCTCCGCAAGCCGCTTCTAAATTTTATTCAAAATACTTAGATTTTGCTTACGATGCAATTTTTGTATAATTAATTTTCCGCAGCGCAAGTTTCGAATTTGGGCTTTTATTTTTAATATTAAAATTTTGTTAAAATTTTAAATATTGTCTTTTAGCAGAAAAAAGGCGATTTCCATAAAGTCCGTTCTCTGGTAATCGATATCACTGTATACTATATTTCCAAAAAAAGATACCGTCGAAAGCGTTGCCAACATTTAAAATGCATATAAATTAAATTTTTTACTAAATGCTTACGAAACAACTTTATACTTAATAGCTTAAAATACTGGTGATTTACACTGCTCACATNCATGCAATTTTTGTTTAATTAATTTTCCGCAGCGCAAGTTTCGAATTTGGGCTTTTATTTTTAATATTAAAATTTTGTGAAAATTTTAAATATTGTCTTTTAGCAGAAAAAAGGCGATTTCCATAAAGTCCGTTCTCTGGTAATCAATATCACTGTATACTATAATTCCAAAAAAAGGTACCGTCGAAAGCGTTGCCATAAATAAAAATTTTTACTAAATGCTTACGAAGCAACTTTATACTTAATAGCTTAAAATACTGGTGATTTACACTGCTCACATTAACAACCGTGTTTCTTTTTCTTTTTGCTTGTTTTTTTGTATGGGTATGAAGTCATGCCTCTTTCTTATCGAATAGCAGGTGGCTAGTAGCTAGCGCCGATTGTTGTACAAAAACACATTAATCAAAAGTACCTTAAGAAGTTAATAAAAAAAAANTTACACTGCTCACATTGACAACCAGTTCAGTGTTTCTTTTTCTTTTTGCTTGTTTTTTTTCTGTTTATGGGTATGAAGTCATGCCTCTTTCTTATCGAATAGCAGGTGGCTAGTAGCTAGCGCCGATTGTTGTACAAAAACACATTAATCAAAAGTACCTTAAGAAGTTAATAAAAAAAAAAGCTGGACCCGCTAAACAATTAATTAATGACAGGAAATATATGATTACATAGTTAGGCGTTTAGACATTTCTAGTGACTACAGTAAAATCCGCTAAAGTGTCTCGCCAAAAAGTTTTTTCAGAGGTTCTGAAACAGTAAGTAAGATAATTAAAAGTGGAAGTGTATAAGTAAACTAGTAACGGGCGCAAAAGAAACTTCGGAAGTCAAGCGGGTTAGGTATTTCAGTAAGCAGCAGTTAAGCGGGTTTCCCAATAAAATTGAGTAGAAATGCATGCGAGTATGTTATGCACAACCATATGTATTTACTGACCATTTTATATCTAAATATAAATATTGAACGCAATCAACGCTTCGCAAACAAGTTGTTAAAAAATACATATTTACATACAAATGTACACATGTATGAAACAGAGAGCAAACATTTCAAGTATCGGCTGTTAACATATACAGTTATATTAGAAAGGAATATGCCTTTGACAAAGCCAATTGGAATAATAAGATACAACAAAAATCTTACAGTAAAAAAATATCTACATTAGGGCGGAGTAATTTAATTTCGAAAAAAGCGTATGGCATATTCGAATTCTACGTTCGATTCAAAAATTACGTTTGAAATTAAAAAAAAGAAATCTGTGTATTATAATAATTTCTGACTGAAGTTAACTTTTCATTTACAAAATTTTGTGTGTTTCTTTACATTTAAGAAACTACTTCACAAAACCTGGAAAATAAAAAATTTTATTCAAAATTTTTTGGCATAATGAGAAATCCATTTCGACCAAAAAAGTTACAATATGTATACTGCTTTTTCTTTTGAACATTGGGAGGTTGGAACTTTTTGGTATATATTTTGTTTGTTCGCCATTTTTGCATAGAATGAATCAAAGAAATGGTATTTGCTAAAACTTTCTTCCAAAATTTCGCTCCGAACAAATTACTCCGCCCTAATGTACATACTAGCTTATACCCGTGGGTTTCACCTCACATTCTTAAACAAATATAAAAAATTATTTAACAGTGTTATATCTTATTTCTGTGCTTATTTT